AAAGCTAGGTCCTTTGTGGGGCCTAGCTACCCTTTTTTTTGGAACCCCTGTCTGGTCGTCAGCGAGGCACATGATGATGCCACGCCTATGTGCGTGGCAGGTTGATATGACTTTTTGAAGCTCAAACGCGCGCTTTGACCTGCGTCGAATCTCTTTACGGCATATGAATCCATATAATCAACATACAAGGTGGTGCCCCCAAGATAGCGAAGTTGGTTTAAAACTCTAATAACTAGGACTTATGGTAGATATATCTATAGTTAATGGGATTATAAACCAACTGATAACTTGGGGGGCAAAACCTTGTATATGAACCTGGCATGATAATCCCGGGTGTTTTTGATCCATTGACGAAAATGCGATCCATGAAGTCATGAAGGTGAAAAAAAAACACAACACATCACCCAACTTCAGATGTGTCGTCGACATTTTCTTCGTTTTGGACCCGCGATACCGTCTGTGTCATACTGGTTTGATGTTTTGAAATGGTATTCGGGTTCCAGTGTCATTTTCATCCGAATATATCAAAATTTGACGCCAGATCAGCGCAACACAAAGCTTCCAGAATTTCATGAAAATTTCATCCCTCAAACAGGTGTTTCTCCAAAATCAGAGGCCCCAAAACGCAAAGGGGTTTGCTTGTGGAGAACTGACCATAAAATGATGGAGACATGCATGCATCATAGCATATATGCTGCATTCAAAACCATTGAAAGTAAAATGCACATATATCACACTATATTATATATATAATTCTGTGAATTATGTGTATATATATATATACATATGCGCTATGCATATATTAAATTAAATATAAATCTATTGTGCATATGTAAATGCGTATACGTATATATAAATATTCGATCATGTGTGCACATTATTGCATAATATATAATATAGTAAATGCACACATACATGTAGACACATACAAAAATATATGTGCGCTTATATATATAAATACACACCATACATAATATATGTTGAGACACTACATGTTGAGCTCCTGGTTTTCGAGAGACACCAAGAGATGTGTCTAAACGGATAAGGGTCCAGCTTCGGTTCAAGCCACATGTTGCTGCTTGACTTCTGGTGCTTGAAAAAAAAGACGTCAGCCATATCCAACCTAGAATCAGCACTAATGATCAGGATTCCAAAAAATGTTTGAAGAAACTTTGAAACCGTAGCCGTATATTGGGGGGCCAAAGCCATGTTTTTTTGAAACGTTCTCTCAATTATCTTAGAAACTAATCTATTTAATCTTCGTGTATGTTCACATTCTGTCCTCATTCTATCACAATTATATCACCATCAATGATATGGGTATGTATATATTGCCATCATTGTAGGTAAATGGCCCCCAAAGTAAGTAGATTCAAGATACGGGATTCCAAACCAGCTTGGAAGATACTTGGTCCTGGCTGATGCTTGGGTTATGACACCGTTCAACTTTTGGTGTAATATACTATGGTCTAATTCATTAATCACAAACCATGATTGCACCATGCCTTGCCTTTAGGGATCGAATGGTTTCATGAATATTCAGGGATCAGCCTGATCCCGGCAACATTCCTTGTAAACGTTCGATGGATGTCAAACCAGGCCCAAAATGGGGCGCCACAGCCGGCGCCTAGCTCTTGTCGAGCTCGGCAAGAATCCAAAATTCCCAGTGCATGGGCTGCTGTACTGCATGGACCTGCTTTCAATAGACTTATGGAAACATATTGAAACAACATTTACAAGAAGCAACATATTTTGAGAATCAAAATTTAAGGGGGACTGCCGGTAAATGGTCCATTTAGTTCGGCCCAATTCTTGGATGCTTCTCCCAGTTTACGTGTCGACCATGCACAAGTGTAGATTCACCGGCTGCGAAACCAAGGCGCGCCCGCGGAAGGGACCCTCTAAAGATTTCCAGGGGTGATAAAATTTCAGGACAGCGACTGCGGAAAAATCAGTGTGAATGACCAAAATCAACAACTTTCACACCATGTTGGCGTATGTACGTGTATATACGGCGTACTTGGACCCTTCAAGTACCAATATTGAAAATGGGCGAAAGTTTCAACATCGTAGGTATATTACTTAGATTACACAATTTCGAATCATTTCTGGGTACTTGGAGGGTCCAGGTATATCACTTATGATCCTAGATGTATATTGTGGGTGAATGATTATCGAGTTTTAAAAACTGGGCATGCCAGCTCGCACACTCAGTAAAACATAGTAAAGCTACAGTGGCTCTCGGGTCATTTCATTCTGGGACTCAATGATCAATGGTAATTTCAGGATCCTAAAATGGAGGTACTGTACCATGTAAGGCCATATTTTGTGGGGATATTCCCTTACATAGGCTTAAAAAATAGGCCTTATATATGGTATACGTATACCTCCAATTTAGTTTCCTGAAATGACCATTGAAATGATCCAAAGTCTAGTTACTAGTTAACAAATCTGAAATCCAATCGGGCAGCGTCAGTGGCTATACTTTAATGTGCCAAATCCAATGCCAGTTTTAGCTACGATTTTGGATGGCTGTAAACCCACCCATCTATGGTGCTTTGGGAAATGATTGTATATTATTGGGATTACCACATGAGAATCATTCAGACATATTCAAACTATAGGTTTGTAATTTTGGATCACATACAGGGTTTCTCTAGTGTAATGTCTAGTCGGGGGAAGGGATTGCGTGTGAAGGAATGCTGCCAGCCCTATCAAACGCATGGATTCAATTGGGAGCATTTGTAACATGATCATGATTGACAATAGAGCACATCAAAAGAAGGATGACTATTCATTATACCTACGGAAAAACGCAATGTTTATACTGTATAATGATCTATTGTAAATCGTCTATCATATGCCACGGCTTCAATAGCTGTGGGACAAATTACCAAAAGGTAAAGGATGAAATCATCTCTAAACTCAACGCTTTGCCTATCATCTGTTGTCACCATCCTCACCCCTGGTCCTAAGCCGCCGCTTTCAACGAAAGAGGCGGCACCCCGCCCACACGCGCGGATTTCTTTTCCTCAGCCGGGCGCGTAAAAACACAACACCGCGGCCTGGATCAGCGGATAGATTTCCACGCAGACCTAGGATTTGGGGATGATCTCCTTATGCTTTCTGTTACCTTAAGGAAGTCAGCACGGTTGGTGCTGGTTACATATTAATGTCAACCCTGGATAAACCATGGTTTATTAATTGGGGGGGTACTCAATAGTCATTATTAGATACTTAAATGGTACCCTCCCAATTAAACAGCCTAGGGGTTTATTAATCCAGGGTTGACATTACATAGGCAAGCTTTTCCCATCCGTACAACGGCCATACTGGGCAATCACGCTTGTGGCTTTACACATTTTTTTGCAATTCGACTGATAAACATGTCTGTCTGCAGAGTCTGCGGCATAAAGTTCCAACATTCACCTTCAAGAAAGGTCCCGCCCGGCTATAATCTCTACGGAGCAACATAAATCGAACAGTTACCCCCCTTAACCAACTTACCCATTAAAGATATTCAAAGATTCACTAGAAATCCACTTTGCTACTCCCAAGATCTCCGCATTGGTGGATAAACCATGATAAACTGATCAACCTATCATTTCGTGAAATTTTCGGGGTCCGTTCCGTTACTTTCAACTAGATCACTAGAACATCTCTCTACCAGCACACGGAGGTCATCGCGCAGGGCGTCAAACGCCGCGCTTTGTCAAGTTTCAGCGCCGTCGCGCCACTGGGACACCTGAAATCCTTGACACGGTGTTTCTTCGAACCAGGGTCTCGTATTTTGCCAGCAGAATCTGGGGTAAAATATACAACTGGATTTCAGCCGCAACAGTATGGTGATTTAAAACAAGAATCCACTTGTGGGGAAATTCAAGCAGCAGAACTGGGACTTCAAATAGCAAACAAGCACTATAAGTGATATACTTGAAATAGATGAAATAGATTAGATTTCGGCCAGCGACAATGAGGACAGCATTGGTTTAGGGAACACTTATCGGATCATTGTAGGCCCTGATGGAAGAGTCAATTACAATACATTACATTACAATAATCTGTCTACGCGGGGATTCACTTTCGTTGTTTTTCAGAACCTGTGCGCAAGAAACCCTAGATCAACATGTGTGCAGCCAATGTCGTTCGGGCTATTGTTTGGCCACATCAAGAAATCCCAAAGAAAACTGACGGTGCTTTCCGTAGATCTGTACGGGTATCATTGTATGGTTGAGCGAAGTTTTACAGAACATGTCCTGATGATTTTCGGTGCCCAGTCTGAAAAGTCGACTGTTGCGAGTGATGGCGGTCAAGAATGTTCTGGCTTCCAAAACAGTGAAGCTGGGAAGCTGGTTCCTTTCAAGATCGCTTACGAATGCCTGAACTTTGGAGTTTGATCCTAATCGTCATGCTTTTTTTTTTTTTTATTTTTTTGAAACATGTAGGTTAACCACGAATCTTCTATCCACATTTAGTGAAACCAAGCTATCAATCAATCAGTGAACGGGCCTTTCAAAAACCCAAAACAACCCCTGGTATTTTCCATCCAAAATCCCAAGGATCCAGTGGCCATGGAAGCCATGGTCCATGGAAATAGATGATTTTCCCAGCGATCGAAACCTCCATCTATGGTGGGGATTTTCCATGGCTATGTTAAATAACCCATGTGTAGATGATTTGATAAAACATGGCGAATGGCTATTTCAGATTTTAACAAGAGGGGTATGACACTGTAGCTGCAGCATGAGGAAGAAAAAAAAACAACTCCAGTTCAAAAGGTTTTTTAAACAATGCCTTTTAATGGAACACCCGAGTTTATTAACTTACGAGGATGGTGCAGTCTTTACACCTTCCTTGGCTGTTGGTGATCCAATTTCATTATCTCCGGATGCTTTTTGATGTAGCCCATAGTCTACTATAGTTGTTTTATTTGGTTGTTGGATTCTCAAGAAATGTCTTAATCCTCAACCTGATTTCCAGTTTGATTCTCCCTTTCTTTTGGTCATTCTTCGTAAATCCGAGAAAAAAAATCCTGCGCAGCTTGCGATGTCAACCTGGATTCTTGACCTCCGGATTCAGCTCCGCCTCGCGATCACCTGGGGAAACCCACCGCTCAGGTGCATTGGATCTATAGATGGAGGGGTTTCATGGATCCCATCAGCCTGGATGCGAAATACATATCTTAAAATGGCTACAACTGTTAGGAAACTTCCATATAGTTACCATATATATATAAGATCCCAATAGATATCTTAAATGATATCACACTAATCGATATACTTAGGTAATCATAGATACCGTATAGCAATCCTTTGCATTAATACACATCTGGTTTTTTCCCCCAGTTATGGCCACCTTCATGGGTAAATCAATGAAAAAAAAACATACAGGATGGCGCCTTTTTCCCCAGTGATGTTTGTTGCTAAAAATAACCACATCTGAATATAATTAGCAACAAACATAACTGGGGAAACATACAAATATGGGGAATAGTTATTCTAATATTCAGGTATGATACACTAGTGTTATTATAGTTATAATGTGGTTAAAACAATAATAAACCATCCCCCAAATCAGCATAAATAGGTGCTATAAACCATCAAACAATGGGGTAGTTGATGGCATTGTTTTAACATGTTTTAACCACATGAAACCAACCTTCGCTAACGAACGAAGTGGGGCCCCATCCTGGGATTTGACATCTGCCAAGCAGCATACCATCGCAGAAGCGTGAAAAACGCGCGACGTCAGCCAGGTGGACTTGCATCTCCTGCGATGTGCTAAGATTCCGAGGGTAAACTCACATAGATGTGGAAAAGGTGAAACAAATCATAGATGATTTGCCTGTAAAACTTGGCGGATTTCCACATCTATGTGGCTGTTTGCGGGATGGCATATGTATATACATATTGGGATTCTATTGGGATTCAATATCTCATATATCATGTACCTATGGAAAATAATGGGTGCAGGGCCTACACTCCTACACATCTATAGATTCTGGTTATTACATGTTATTACTGGTTATTGGGGGTGAAAAAAAAAACGTAAACAAAGTGTCTGCGAGTCTGCGAGTCGATCTGAATTTGGATCATCATCCCATTTGGAATGCTGTAAATAGTGGGAATATGATCTGGTTGGTGGCTTCAATCCCTCTGAGAAAAAATGTTAGTCAGTTGGAATTATTATTCCCACTATATGGAAAAATAAAAAATGTTCCAGACCACCAGCCAGTGATAATATCTCATATTAATATGTTGTGAATAATCATCATCCAAACTTACGATCTTCCCATTACAGCAAACCATGTTTCTGAACCCACGCATCATGGAAGCATATGGAAGCCAAAGCTGATCCACCGATAAACACACATCAGGATTTTTCTTGGCCAAAATCCAATTTCTTTGGTTTCCACATATGTGCATCCCCATCTGCTGCAAAAAAAAGGTAAAGTACCCGTCCGAGGTTGACACTAAACAAAGTTTTAAAAGCATTTTCGATCGTGCCCTGTGTATAGACATGCATAAACGCTAGCGCACTGCGATCCCACCTCCGCTTGCATGTCCACTGTCCAACAGCATCCCGGCAGTTTCCTTTGGAATATGCTACAGGCGTGCTGACGTTGTTTTATTCAATGGGCCCTCAAAATAGATAAGTTGACTTATAAGTTGGTTAACTAAGGTAACTAAGGGGAAAATGACTGTAGTTAATGGGGTTTATAAACCAACTTGCAACATAACTATGCAAAACCACCATTATCTATGGGTAAATCGACTCTAAATAGCCATGTTCAGTAGCTATGTTAGTTTCCTAGAGGGCAATGGAAATAACAATGATCAACCATATCTTGGCTTGGTCCATTGGGAACATGTTCTGGAGAACCCACCCCGTTTTTGACGAATCAAAATGGCTTTCCCTCAAACAGGATCAGGGATTGCAGCACCCAATGAACCATTTCAAGGATTTTCGTGGTTTTTGTAGCAACCCATGACACATACAATCATACATTTACCAAGCCCTTTTTTGTAGCAAACCTCTTTATGAAGCCGTGGGTCGAAGAAGAGTGATTTAAACAACTGAAGCTGTGCACCGAGAAAAAGATTGACAGGTAATACAATCCATATTTCATGTGTGGCTTCCTGTTGATTCTTGTTTTGCAATGACTGTAAAATGTTAAAATAGTAGTTGCATATATGTGAACCTGATCGGTAACTTTACATACGCATGCATCTATCTATCCATCCATCCATTCATTCATCCATTCATCCATCCGTCCGTCCTTCTGTCTGTTGGTCGGTCGGTCTGTCTCTCTGACTATCTATCTATCTATCTATCCATCTATCTATCTATCCATTTATCTATCTATTTCTCCATGTCCATGTCTGTATTTTATCTCTCTCTCTCTCTATATATATATATACAATGTTCATACATATGCACACTGTATTCTGACCCATGAAAACGAGGCTATAACTGTACATGCGCCTGGATGCATGACCATCGTGCCTGACATTTCATTGGCAGCAAATCATTTAGATCATATAGCCTTTATACGATGTCTACTGGACATGCCAAACATACCAGTGAAACCATGGGTATGTACACATATGTACCACGAATTAGGGATACAACTGGGATATGACTTGGGCAAATCTCAAGCGGGATATTGGGAGAATCCAATGCGGGACTCTGCTTCTACGCTAGCAGAAAACGTGATATTGAGGCACCCCCCCCAAAAAAAAACAATGGTTGGCTTACCCTCTGGTAAATTAACATAGACCCTGGCAAATAGGACTTGGAAGATTAGTTTCCATTAAAAAAATTGTTATTTTCAGGGTCTATGTTTATTTACCAGAGGGTATTGACCACCAACAACTGCTCATAAGGGCTTATTGACCATTGGTAAATTATTGAGGGCCACCTTTGGGAGGCCTGGCATCAGGGGATATGTTCACCGTCTAAAGGTCTCGTAAAACCCAGTTGTGTCTTACTATATCTGGGTCTATGATCCTATCTCACGAAGCTGAAATGAGGCATATCTATATCTATACCTATGCCTGTCTATATATATATATATATATATGTATACATTTATATATAATACACGATGAATCCCTCATATCAACAATAATCTTTGTGTGGCTTGATCGGCAAACACCACCATCGTGCTGTGCTGAAGATGATCTCACACAACTCTAAATCTATCCGTCTGTCTGTCTATCTGCCTATCCATCTACTGGTACCATCCTATATTATCTTGTCATGTCTATCTTATCTGTCTTAGCTATCTAATCTGATCCAATCTGATTCAATCTCATCCAACCTAATCTAGTCTAATCCAATCTATAGCCTATCCTTATCAATAATGACAATAAACATACGTTGATGATCATGTGGCATTTCCACCACCAAATGGGAACGCCTCTGGTCCTCCCGTATATCCCAGCATTCCCAGCATTCCCAGCATTCCCAACGCCAAGCTTCTTGCTCATAGTACGCAAGGCACGATTGACCAAGGATCGCTTCTCATCACACTTGGGCCCACGCTCCCAGTGGTAGCCTCGAAAGCGGTTGGAGGCCTCCGGAATTTCAGATGTGCTGTTGGCATCCCTCAAACAGATACAAAATTGGGCGTCCTAGAAATATGTTTCTTTCTTTCTTGGGGGGTTACTAGTCCTATAGACATACTTTCCTTTCTTGTTGGGGGTTACTGTACTTGGAAGGGCTCCTTTGTTTGGTGACGACTCTCTGTAAAATGGATTGATGTATGTGAAATTTGACAGGAAATCATGGTCTTTTATCCCCGAAGAATGGAAGTTTTCTGGATTTTATATTTATCATTTAAATCGATTCCGGAGCGCTTTCGACTCATCTAAATCATTCGTGACTTGTCGTAGGGGAACACAACCCACTCAACCCATGGCCGGAGTTGGGCCACTCATCTACGGTCATGGATTCCTGGGAAGTCTTTGCACCTCTCAGCCATGGCTGGGACACCTTGGACCAACATCTAAGGCTCTAAGGTCTGTTTGAGGAGCACCACCTGGATAACTCGAGATTCCACACAGTTGGGATGCTTAGGATCTTAGGATCTGGCTGGTCTCGGCTGCGTTCACCTCCCTGGTTAGATCTCCGAATCCATGTTGCCAAAACCACACTTTTATTGCTGCATAAAATCTCACTTCCAAAGCAGAATGTGTACATGCATTGATACATGGAGGTAGTGTATTAAATCAGATCGTAGATGAACAAACAAATAAGTTTATTGAGTGTACTGCCTACATCTATTTGGACAATGATTTGCCCTTATGCATATGGTATTTAAGCAGTATAATAGTACATATTCAAAGTTATGTAGATGCGACAGCTGTATATAGATTTAAGGACACAAATAAATGACTTACCCTTACTTTACAGCTAAATAAGCTGGTTACAACCGATTCTCTATAAAGTGTATCTGTATCATCTGGATATTTCTCGAGCTCGGTGCCCAAAACCATGCGATTCCCACAGTGCAATGGAAGGTTTATGGAATATGATCGATATACAGTGATAAGATGTACAACACTGCTAATTAGCATGTAGAAAAACTACCATCTGGTTATTTAACATAGCCATAGAGAATCGCTTATAAATGGAGGTTTTAATGGGAAAATCATCTATAAATGGGCAATTTTCCATGGCTATGTTAAATAACCAGAGGGTAGAACCTCCATTTGAAGGAGACTAAAAAGGGGTGTTCTCCCACGAAAAAGATCCTGGTTGGTGGTATACCTACCCCTCTGAAAAATCAGTTCGTCAGTTGGGATGATGACATTCCCAATATATGGAAAAAAATCATATTCCAAACCACCAAGCAAATAATTATGATTAATTATGTAACTATAGATGATTTTCCCAGCTAGAAACCTCCATTTATAAGGGATTTTCCATGGCCATGTTCCAGTCACCACCAACCAGTTATATGTGTTTTTGAGGAATTTCCCAGCCATGACCGGCTGGGAGACACAGCCGTTCAAGTTATCCAAGGAGCCACTAAAGCGAGGCAGGCTGTTGACCCAAGATGGAAAGGGTACCTTGGGTCATGCCCTTGGACGACTTTGGTGGCTTGATGATGGTATTACCCTCCAGTAAATTAACTTGTTGACCCTGGTAGATAGGGCTTGGAAGATTAGTTTCCTCTAAAAATTGGTGATGTTCAGGCTCTATGTTTGTTTACCAGAGGGTATACCTTATACCTAGATCCTTATAGTACACCTGAAAAAGGATACAAAAGTTCAGGAAACCTGGAAATTAAGGGGAAACAATAATCTATAATATATACAATTTCGATCTTTTTGGGAGATTCCATAATGGTGAAATACATTGAAATATTATAATCGTGCAAATAATATGAGAATGGTTTGATATGAAGGGGATTGATTATTCAGTATTCAGTACTTTCATATTTTGTTGGATAACTGATATAATAATACAATATCACGGAAATAGGTTTAACACCTGAAACTGTGATTGTACATACCATAGGAAGATGGTTGTTGTGCCTTATATTATATCAAATTGTTGTTATAGGTTGTTAATGTTTCTTAGTTGTGAATGGTTATCAACAAACAATCGTATTAAGCATGATATTCTGGAAGGTTGCTATGGTGTTTGAGCAAGACATCATGCGGATTCAAGCAATTTATTGACCAGCATTGAGGTGACCAAAGGGTTAAGAACATGGCCAAAGGTGACTTCTACACATGCCCAGTTCATCATTGGTAACCCCAAATTAACATGGACCCTGAACACAATCAGTTGTTAGTGGAAACTAACCTTCCAACCCTCTATTTGGCAGGGTCTATCTAAAGTTGTGGGGGAACATATAAATATCCAATGTCGTGTCAAGCGCTTATTGACCACCAAACTACAAATCCCAACCATCTATTATTGGAGGGTCCGTTCTCGTCTACTGTCTAGTGTTTCCAAGTGGGGTCCCAGGACAAAGCCACAAACCGACCATTTTGCGGTAGTTGAAAAGACTAAACATTCGCATATTCAACCATTCTGGCACATGGCTTTCCTGGATGCAACATGTTGTAACCAGTTTGAACACCTGGACTACCAATACCAAACACTTGGAAAATAACACGGGACGATTAACCTTCTGACAGCTTCCTCCAGTGGTATAACACAGCCCATTTAGTTCGATGATCAACCAGTTGTTTTGATATACATTTGATATTGATTTTCCATATCAATCTGTCAAAATCCAGAATGTCATTGTTTATCTCAAAAGTGCAACACTTAGTGAGGCACTCTTGTGCAAACATCACGGGAAACTATCAACATACGGCGAATCCCAACTCTAAAGTAGCACAACACACCAAACACACCAGTAGATGTAAAGAATGCCGTTGAAATGCAATGACATAGTCTCGCCAAATGATAATTAGTTTACGTGGTATGATACGGTATTCGGTCACATCCTTATTAAAACATCTTAAAACTGCTACAGCTATGCCACTTTATGAAACCATAGAATTCTGAAACAAAAATGAATGGCAAATGGAACGCCACACCTATGGCTTCTTTGGAGCCGATTGCTACACTTCGCCAGCGTGCTGAGGTCGGCGAATGCGGTTACTATTAAACTTCCGTTGAATGGGGTCTAGAGTCTAGCCCGTGATCTCCTGCTATCACAGAAAATCGCGTTTGTTTTTTCGCGTTTCGAAGGATTTTCATTGCTGGTACCCTCTGGTAAACTAACATAACTATGGAAAATCACCATTTTCAATGGGTAAATCCACTATAAATGGCCATTTTCAATAGCTATGTTAGTTTACCAGAGGGTTAGCCTAGTACTGGTTTACATATCCCACATCCCCATGGTTTCATGTCGCCATGTCCACCATGTCCAGCCATGTCTCGCCGAGGACATCGATATTTTAGATTAATGATCCATGATACCCGACCTGGTAAACAGGCAAAAAACTGATGGGAAATTCACCATATTTGATGGGTAAATCAACGAACTTTCTATGGCAATTTCCATCCATCAAGATCCCAGATGTTCCATGGTGCTGGAATATTTGAATATGTGCCATTATTTACCTACATAACTGGGTGATATTTAAGGGGTAAATGTATAGGTATTCCATAGATTTTTAGCATCTGGGATATGACATGGAAAAAAACCGGCAGATTTCCCACATTTTCCCAGTTCGCCGGAGGATACCAAGGTGCAGTGACTCGCTTTCCGGCCTCCAAGTGAGGCCGTTGAATCAAGACCTCCTCGATCAAATACCACACCGTCTTGCTGAGCAGCCCTCGGATGGTGGACCCAAAAAATGGGCTTTATGAGGAAACAAAACGGGGTTTTTACATGTTTTTACAATGTAAATTGAATCATAAGATCATCTAGGGCTATGCGGAGCTCATTTTCCCATCATCCATTTTACCATGTTCTGGAACGTTTTCCTTGAATTAATTTGAATTAGCTATGGGACGTATGGGTTGGTGATGCTTTGTGTGGTCACTCTTCCATGCTGTTTTCGGGCTTGGTTAAGCGTGATATTGAACCAGGACTTAAGTTTCAACAATTTCAAAGATGGCTATTGGTCAAAACCTTGGTACCTAGTGAACCCCAAAATAGCTGGTAAATGGATGTTCATCCCACTAAAAATGTATCTATAGGTATTGACCACTTAAGTTTCAACAGTTTCAAAGCTGGGGAAGGTGGGAAGGGACCGGGGCAATGACCGGGGCAATGGAATCCCTCACAACCCATGGATTGCCTGCCAAGCAGCCACCTTCAGACTCATCTTGGAGCCACGACGCCTGTGTTTCAAGATTTACTTTTGGCTCGATAAGGGATTGATTCAAGTCAAAAACTGCATGAAAACATATGATTTTCCATATATATATATAAGGATATATAAGGATATATAAGGCATTTTCCAGTATGTTTTCTCTTCGAACCATTTTTGGGAGATTGAACTTGGGCAGGAATTTATAGCACTCCCCTTCGTAATTATTGTGGGAGGGTTGCAGGCCTGCGGTCTTCCATTGGTCAGAATCTGCTGATCCGATTTTGTGAGGTACGTGTGCCCCAAAAAACATGGCCGAAAAGTCACTGGGAATGACCCTTGGGTCCCACTGCCATCCAAGAAGTACATGGGTGAACCATGGTTAACATCAAAACCTCACCCTTGCAAAGTTGTGCAACTCTGGGTCTTCTCATGGGGGTTTCCATATATGGGGGTACCCCCAGTCATCATCCATTTTTCTCGAAGGATTTTCCCTTATAGGCCATCATCACATATTGGGGTAGCTCCATAGAAACCTCCACCTCCATGGCCCACGGCCACCTCCTGGTCCCAGTTCTGACTTCCATCTTCACTCGCCTTAACGGTGGGCTTCACTGTTTGTTGAGAATCCTCGCCAGTGCACATGTCAGCATGTCTTTATCATAACTGGTTGGTGGTATACCTACCCCTCTGAAAACTATGAGTGAAAGTCAGTTGGGATGATAAAATTCCCAATATATGGAAAGTCATAAAACATGTTCCAAACCACCAAGCAGTGTGGCACATACGCAGTGCTTACTTATTAAACGCTATGAATTTACGTCTCATCCCGTGACGCGGATTGCGCTTCGATGAAACAGCTCCCCAGCTCCGTAACCCTCTGTTTCCATGAAGAATTGGTGCTCCTCGTGTCTCGTCTGGAGTAAAGATGTGAAAATCATGCAATCCCCCAATATATCTTCTACCCTCTGGTTATTTAACATAGCCATGGTATAGATGGCCCATTTATAGATGGTTTACCTGGGTTTACCTATTGAAAATGGTGATTTTCCATGGCTATGTTAAATAACCAGAGGGTAATTGGTCCATAGGTGATAGGATCTGATCCATCTTTCGGCCAAGCAACAGAAAATTCCTCCTGAACCATCCAGCCTCTGGTGGATTGAGCCAGATGGGGCTGGGGTTGTCAACTCACAACGAGATCCACCCCTGCGGCGTCTATGTTTTTCTCATGTTTTTGTGGGTTATTTCTTGGTGGAATCTGAAACAGTATGTTACCAATTTTTAAATACCTATCATACCTATCGGTCCTGAATTCAAAACCAAGTCTTGTAATGTTTCTCAGAGCCAACCCAATCCCAAATTGTTTGGTGGTACATGCAAACAATGACACCTCAAATGTAAGATGTGGTTTAGTTAGTACACTTTTCTCAAACTCATGGTTTTGAAGCGCTGAGTTTAACACTCTCGAGGAAACCAGGTTTTTCGATTCCGGGAGACCCCACAGCTGGTTGATCATCGGTCATGTGTCAAAATTCTGGGTCCCTAGACTCCCCAGACCCTAGGTACCCTAAAATAGCTGGTGAATGGCTGTTTTTTTTTTTTTTCGGAATATGATTAATCAAAGGTTTCGGCCCACATATCCCGATAGTTGATTTGATATCCAATGATTCTCCCGCTTGGTTTATCAGTAACTGCATCTCTCAATGGATTCTTTAAGGGTAAAACTATCGAGAAGCCGTTGATACCCAAATTGATAGGTGGTTCCATTTTCATGTTTTTTTTTAAAAAAATACTTTTGGATGATTAAACTGATGTGGTGCTTATATCCCTTGCACCCCTTCAAGAAACACAATTTCTGGTAGGTTGGCCTAGTGACCCCCAATGTCTGCTTGGTTGACTTGGATTCGTTGATCCCTCTTTCCCAGCACTTCTGGTTAGCTAATCCACTAATCCATGGACCAGAACAACACATTTAAAATGCCATCCTCGGTAACTTTCATTTTTTGCTTGTTTGATTGGGGGATTACTGTATATCACCCTGGCTTGGACCAGAAAGTCCCAACAGTCCCAAGATTTCTGGCTAGGTAATTCCGATGCGCACATATATATTATATTATTACTACTGAATTATTATTATCATCATTCTTATTATTATTATATATAAATATATCTTTACATAATTTATAGTCTCATACTTCGTGATTGATGGAATATCAAGGAGGATTTGCACACTCATAATTGATGTTTATAACTGATAACCACCCTCAGAATATCATATAATCCTTATATCATCTAACTCAAAGAATTCCAGTTGAAATGGATAAGTTAGAAATACCTTCATCTCAGTCTTACATTGGTCATGTAATTTTACAACTTATACCCTTTGGTTATTAAACATAGCTATGGAAAATTGCAAAATGGCCCATGGAAATAAATGATTTTCCCAGCTAGAAACCTCCATTTATCATGGATTTCCCATGGCTATGTTAAATAACCAAAGGGTATGTCTATCCTCCTTTAGTAAATCCCCAGGTTCTACCGAGGCACGCTCCCAGCGCGACATCTCGCGGCTCTTGCGGTTCTTGCGGCGCGGAGCCTGAGACAACGAGACAACTACGGTAGTTGGGATGGTTTATGGTATTGGGCTTTGACCACATTAAATGTCATATTATATATATATGTGTGTTCTGTAAAATATGTTCTGTATATTATACATAGTAATCGTTCAAAATAGTGACTTAATGGGATTTATAATGGGATTTAACATGGGATTTAAAATGGGATCTAACTATTAGTAATCAGTAATCCCAAAAATAGATAGACAAGTAGTTGGGAAACCTGGAATATGGGAACATATCACCATGTACATATTACCATTTTCAAGGAAACAACTAAATTTGTCTGGTCGTTTCTTTGGTCCGTGTTTTAGCTCATATCCACAGTTACATCCAGTTTGTTTGTGTTTGCTTCTTTCCGCAAAAGAGTTGTCCTTTCAATCACAATTACCCCCCCCGTGAACATACAAAAAAAAAATGAAAAAACCAGCATGTGTAGATAATTGTCCTAGGTTGTCAATAGGTTTTCCAAATATGTTTGTATGTTTAGCCCAGAGTATATCCAAGTCAATCACTAATAATCATTATTAATCATTATTGACATAGATGGTTTTCCCAGCTATAAACCTCCATTTTGATTGGGGATCTCACCATGACAAGTGATGAAACAATCCTAGTATGTATATCTGGGCGCACAGACATATATGTAACTATGAAATATATATATATATAAATGGATAAAGTTATTCTATTGGTTAAATTCATGTTTAGTACTATATAAATCTCCCTCTCTCTCTCTCTCTCTCTCCAGCGCCATCTCGTCAAGTGAGACTGCCAGTATATAAATAATATGGCATATCATACATGACATATAAATATCATATCATATGTACAAATACATAACCATATGTCATAAATATAATGCAAATAGTGGGCTCTATGTAAATATAGGATCACGATAAATATATACATACCATAATATATTGCATGAAATTATACTGATCATGATATATATATATATATAATATTAATAATAAATATAATAAGTAATAAATATAATATAATACCATACATTACATTACACAAATCATTCGATCCCGCACTTCTGGCCGTTCCAAAAAAAAGGCCTCGCCTCCCACTTCTCCGCTGTCGCAGTTTCTTGGGGCAGCGAGGGAGGCGTCTCTGCGGGCAGCGACGCCACGGGCGGTTCCTGCTCGGAACGTGGTCAAAGTCCTGCTAAAATAGCGGTATATCAATGGGAATTTTCTAGGGATATTCTCTGAAATTTAGGCCTAAAAATAGGCCACAAATATATGGTAGGTACCTCCAATAAATCGGTTCCTGAAATGGCCATTGAGTATATAGAACAAGTAGGACTTGTCAGCATCGATTTAGGGGCTAGTATTAAATGTTGCATGCTGCATGATAGCTATTGAGCTATTGGTCATCGAGATTTTGGGGGATCTAGATGGATTTAGCATGATTTATACCAAATGGCAACAGTATCATGCACCATTTCACTTACTGATTTGGGGATATGGCTATGCCGACCCAAAATACATGACTATCGTAGCTGCTATAATGAATAGCATACAAACAAGCATTATCTAGAGACGAGGGATACCTAGTCATTTTCTTGTGATCTTATCATCATCTTTATCATACACATAATGCATATACAATCATATGCATACACCCAAAATCACCCAAATGGATTCTAACACCAAAAAGATGTCGTTCCATGTTTTAAGACCTACATGGTACTTAAAGGGAAACATACGTCCTTTTTTGGATTAATCTGTGGGATCATTTAGAGGTTTTTTTTTCTTGCCGGGATATTCGATTCCTCCAATCAATGGTCATTCCAGGATCCGATTCAATGGAGGTACGTTAGTACCATATGTTTGGCCATATTTTCTGGGGATATTCCCTGAATTTTAGGCCAAAAATATTAATGGAATCGGTACCTCCAAGTTTCATCGGTTCCTGGCCGGAATGGCCATTGATCCAACTCTCGGTTCATGGCTGGTAAAGTACCAGTTTTTTTTGGGAGTCAAAGCCTAGGATTCGTAACCAGAATGCGCAGAATGCGCTGAGCGCTGGTGTTTTCTGTCCAGAAGTAAAAAAAAACTGGTTCCATGACTGGTTGATGGTATACCTACCCCTCTGAAAAAATATGAAAGTCAATTGAAGTAATATCCAATAGTTGATCAATAGTGGATGAATATTCAACGGATTGGTTTTGTTGGGAAAATCGTAACCGGAAAACCCCATATTTCATGGGAAAATTGCGATGGTTTCCGGTGAAGATTTTCCCAACAAAACCAATCCATTGAATGATGTTCACCAAACCATTTGCATCTGGCACTCCAAGTGACCTGGGATTTCTTGATTTCGGTGGTTTTGACCATCAGCTGGCTACACATTCAGTCGAATGATGGTCATGATGGTCAGCAGTTTACCAACATGAAATCAACATGAAATATAATTTCATCTGGCCAATCTAAAATATTGTAAATACATATGTGCAGTAAACCATACTGCAATATCATATCATTCCAATCTAGATATATAGATAAATCATATATATATGATTACAATGGGACAAATGAATGGACAATGCCGGCAAACACCAAAGGTGATGATTGGTCATGATTGGCCCATGGCATGTTTAGTCCAGCGATTTTTTAACTGAACTGTCGCCAGGTTGATCCTATAAAAAAAAAACAGGGAATTTAAAAAAAACACAAAACCATTGTCAGGTTTTATCCCTGTCAAATCACGATGAAAATGCCATTGAAATCCGATTGGCATCCCATAACACACCCATTCCGAAAAACACATAACAAACATACCATTAAAATAAATAAATAATCAAAACCCATACGCATCCCAAAAACATCCCAGTAGAAAAAACAAAACAATTGGGGATGGGTCAAAACCCTGGTACCTTTTATTCACCCCAAGTCATAGCTGGGTTAAAATGGATGTGAATAACCCACTAAAAATGGATTACTATAGGTATTGACCCATACCCAATTGAACATCCATTTCTTTTAAAAACAACGCTGGCAGGAAGTTTCTGCCTCCCAGCTCCATCCGGACCAGTTCCCATTGGAGATCTTGTCTCGACTTTGTCGAGGCGGCCTCGCAGCGAAACCCATGGTGTTTTTATCATGAAATATATTGAAATCTAACGGTGGCCGGTTAAAATTGTCCCATCATCAAATTCTGTGATTGAAAGTCGAGGCTCCATTTTGTCCAATCTCTCTCTCTCTCTCTCTCCCCATCACCTTCTCAAAGAGTTCAGCTAAAGGCGAGTGAAAAACAACCGCTCCACCACGGAAGACAGGAGTGTCAGCAGCCAAGGGTATCCAATCTAGATCAGCTTATTGTTCAAGCAATCGCAGAATGGTGGATTCGTGACACCACCTGGGATCACTTCAAAATTTCCAAACCTAACTCACATGAAACCAAAGAACACGTCCAAATTCACATGTGTTTTTTCATTGTTTCTCCCTTCTACCCTCTGGTAAACACACAAAAAACTCATGGGAAAATCACCATTTTTATTTTATAGCTGGGTAAATCAACGAACTTTCTATGGCCCAAATGGCCATTATCCATAGTTCGCGGTCTATGACAGAGCCCAACCGGTTTCGCACAGTCCAAGCATCTTCTTCTCGTTCCATGTCTCCCAAGTCCGGTCCACGGCCACGGCCTGGGGACGGGTGTGCGCCAATCCCATGCAAAGTCATAAAAACTATATCTGTAACTGTACACATATCTAGTATATATATATATGCAAACATATACATATATATATATATACATATATATATATATATAACTATATATATATATGTAATATGTATGTATATATATATATGTAATATGTGCTGTTGTGCATACATATATACATATTCATACATGCATATGTATATATATATATATGTGTGAAACAATATGATACTGATAGTATATAGGCCAACTACTTTTGAAGGGCTCTTACATGTGTGGTTCTTGGCATCAATACAAAATTGAATCTTGAATGCCAACAACCAGGAACCGCGATGATCAACGACAAACAATACGAGTAATAAAGTAAGATAAAGCCAAAATAACAACAGTGACAAAATAAATCATACATCACAACAATAAACAATAGACATGACTGACAATAATCACCAGTAATACGCACATGGATGTGTCTGAAAAATGGGGTCATCCCCAACTATAGCCATTTACTATCATGATCTAACAATCTATCATGTACTAAAATGATGAACAATGGGATTTTGCGATACCATATTTTAAACAAGCCTACATGAGTTGTTTTTTTATAACAGCTAACCCTGGTATTCAGTTTTTTCATCGCACTCAGCGTTCCAAAAGTTTGCTTTCCAAGAGCAACATCATTTATAGATGGTCTCTATTAGCGAGATTATTTAGTAATCAAACATAGTCCCCCAAAAAAAGAAACAAGTGGATCATAATATTTTGGATAGTATTGATGACGACAAAGTTACCCTCTGGTAAACTAACATAGCTATTGAAAATGGCCATTTATAGTGGATTTTCCCATGAAAAATTGTGATTTTCCATAGTTTTTTGTATGTTTACCGGAGGGTACAATACATCACTTTGGATTAAACAAACAGCAGCCCGACCTCTGGCCACATGGCTGGTCTCATCACATCGATTGTCTGGTCCTTCACCTCAGAAAGCGGGCTGGTTTCATCGTTTCATCAATGAAGAAACGAGGATAATCCTCGTAAAAATGGGATGATAAATGTATGCCCCAAAAAGCTACAGTCAAAAAATATGGGCAAATGCCATGCCTATCTTAAGTTGGGGTTGCTATAAATGTATCGAATAAGAGCACCACATGTAGAATAGCAGAATATCACCGGCAATAGTGGTGATTTGATGAATATCTAATGAACACATAGTCAACAACCACTTATTGTTTTTGGGCGTGCCTGAAAATAGGCTATTTATCTGGGAAAATTGTAATATTTCACTAACCTGAATTAAGGCCATTTAGGGATGATTTCCCTTACTAACCATGATTGCCAGTGAGGTCGCAGTGAGGTCGTTATAATTTACCCAGATTTATAGCCCTCCAAATTGTCATATCTTACTCCTGGATTCCTGGATAACGATGATTCACCAAAGGATAACTATGGACTTAAGGCTTTTCCCGTAACATCTTCAGACAAACCCACGCTTTTCACAGTAGCATTTTATGGCACATGCAGTCAGCTGCCCTGCAAAGAACTATGAGGTATTACAAGATTGATTGCAAACAGCACATCGCTATTGTTCTATGCTCCAGCGGCTTGATGATTGTGGTTGTTGAAAATGAACTAATAACATTGCCATACCACCCATTTAATCCCAAATGAATGATCCTAGATTGTCTTGCACCATGTTCAGCATGTTCATAGCCGCGTTCCCCTGATCAGCGGCATATCCCCCTTCGTCCAAAGCACCCAAAGACCAAGGCCTATGAGGGCATGCTTTGCTGCCACAGAACCTGTATCCAACCTTCTTTTGCACGTGATTAAGGCCCCTCTGGTATCAATTCCTTGAATAACAATAAAGAGTTGGCCACCCCAACTGACACTTGACCCAAGTAGAACCAACACTTGGACATTAGTAGGTACTAACGGCTAGGTATCGCACTGGTGGCTTGTACCGTACCGAACAGCCACAATAAGCCTTAAACGAGGTTGGTTGATATCGTCCCCATTGGTCGAATAAATTCATGGTACATGTGGTATAAAAAAATCAAAAAATAAATGGTAAAACCATGTAAAACCATTGCAAATATAATATTATCATATAGGACATACAAACATTCAATGGATATGCAAACATTTAACCTCTACGTCATCAAGGGAATCCTGGGTGACCCTTGCCACGTCCGTGGCCATGTGATCTGCCACGGCCAGCCCTGACATGGCCAGGTCATAGAGGACCGTGGGAACATGGGAAGGATCATTATACATACAGATGCACAAACATATACACACACATAACATATACCCTCCGGTTATTTGTTACATAGCCATGGGAAATGGCCCATAGAAATAGATGGTTTACCTATTAAAAATGGTGATTTTCCATGGCTATGTTAAATAACCAAATGGTAATTATGTATGTATATATATATATATGATATGTATATACACACATGCACCAAACAAATCAAATCAAGAAACATCACATTACATAAAGAAACATGATATAGCATGTTCATGCATATCTCAGGAAGGAATTTATGTAATGAGCCAGTGCCAGTGCCAGTAAAACTGGAAAAATAAACTGACAATGAACATCTACTACACTATTTCAGCAGAAATCCGGCTCCAAACCATCATATCAGCACGAGCCAAACTGAACGACACATTGAACTCTGTACTCAAACATCAGCAACCTATATGCCTCTATATCATTCTATATCAACACGTTTGGGACGCAACAGCTAACTCTATCAGATTGTCTTTGTTGAAACGACCCACAACCCCTTCCACACATTGGCACATCTTGAAAAAAAGTTTCATCTGGAGTCATCATGAGTTATCCAGTGAAACTGATGGTGTCAATGCAAAAAAGAAAACTACGCTTGGGTGATTTTGGGGCACCCAAACTTTAAACGCCCATATAAATCCACCGTTTGCCCCAACATTGGGGTGCCTGACAACTGGGGTGCCTAATGTTCAGACAAACGCTGACACAATCACATGCAGTCGCCTTCTCCCATGATTTGCGAGCACCCTAAACTCGACTCAAAAAATTCTCCCATGTTCCATGATCATTACACTGCCAACTCGACCATCAGCCCAGAGGTTTCCATAAATTTTCAGGTACCCCTAGTCATCATCCATAGATGGGATTTTCCCATTTGGATAGCCCCTTTATCGCTGGATGGTTCAAAACCAGGGACAAATCCCATCAAAAAAAATGGATGATGACTGGGGATACCCAGTCAAAACTTAGGAAACTCATCCATATAAACCATCCATTTTGGGGGAAATCCCATCTATTTATAAGGGAAAATCACATCGATTTCTAAGGGAAACCACCATATCATCCCCCTGCCTGAAACGCTCTGCTGCATCTTCTCGACGCCCAGCGGGTGCGGGTGCGGGTGCGGCGCAGCTGCAGCGCGGTAGCTGACGGGCGATGGCGTGGGGAAGGCCTCGTTGCCTTGGAGGCTGAACATTGAAGAGAATGGGATATAACCAACATTATAGTTATAGGATGATAGATGTAACTAATGTAACATGATCAAACATGTTATATAGGATATCATGTCACAATCTAACCAACATCATAATGATGATATCCGGACCACATCATGACATAACCAACATTAACTAACATGATCTAACATACTCTATGGATGGGGTCGAAAAATTGTGGGATTCACCAACATGCCATAAAGCATATGGAGAACCATCCCCAATAGAGGTTTGCTATTGAACATTGCCCTAATCGAAGTAGTTGATTTACCTATTTATTAATGGTGATTTTCCATGATTTTCCATAGCAAACTGTTAGTTTAACAGAAAGTATCTAACATGATCTAACTCACATCATGGGATATAACTTCAAATATTCCATTTCAACATCAGAAACTCATAGAAACTCAACATTTTTTATTTTTAGAATTCTTGAAGATTTTACCGTGATAAACAGCCGATGGCATCTGATGGTTTTTCTGGAAGTGGGGAAAATCGATGGGATCTAATGGATCCGAAAATTCTAATTTGATTTCTGTCCATTTTTTTGAATTTTGTCCATATTAATCAATGGTAAACAAGCACATAACTATGGAAAATCACCATTTTATAGCTGGGTAAATCCACTATTTCTATGGTGATTTTCAATAGCTATTTTGACATAACCAGAGGGTAAAATAAAACTGACCATGTCAAGAAAAAAACTGACCACTTCATGGTGATAAAAAAATCAGTCATGTTGAGTCTGCCCCGGGTATTTGCAGCCTTTTCTCGGGAATTTCCGCCCTGAAGAATCGATACATTTTTACGCCAAGTAGAATAAGGTCAGGCCCAAAGTTATGTGGTGATTTACCCATTAAAAATTGTGATGTTCCATAGTCATGTGGTTGTTTTCCAAAGTTGCGAAATACAAAGTTGACCACAGTAATCAAACATATACCATTTCCAGGTCCTTCACAAGAAATCCGCCCCAAGGGCAGAAATCTTGCAAACGGACAATTATTTGCGTCCTTTAGGAGATCCAAGTATATCCTGATATAGATTAAATTATAATCAACAAATTTGATGTGATATTGGGGAATTACATAGGTTTACATCTATTTACCACCCAGTTGACTAAGAGTTTGCTATGTAACATGGCGATTGTCCAAGGCTATGTTAGTCTACCTGAGGGTATGCCATGGCCCAGTCACAGTGTTTTGTGGGTCTGTCTCATGTCTCCAAACATGTCACTACTACCCACTGAAGTGCATGGCCCTAAGTTAAGTCGGAGAATTCTCCCCAAAAAAATCGGGGGTGAATATGGGCGTTTCAACTTCACAATCCAAAACCATTGGAATTTTGAATTCACAGGACATTTGATCACATTTGGCGCCATCAAACAATGTCTACAATTAGTCTACAATTGAATCGATTGAAACGACTTTCGATGAAACCACGCAACACAAAAGGAACCCTGTAGAGTCATTAACAGCACATGCAGCTGAGTAGTGGAATCACCTAGTCCTCGTTGAACCCGGAGCACGGCTGGTTCGCGCGCAAAGCATTGCCACACATTGAAAAAACACAAAAATAAACAACGTTTTTTCATGTCTTGCTCGCACCCTTCAGTTTTTTGTTTCTTGACATTTTTTGAAACATGTTCATCCATTTGCTGCTAAAACATCACCCAGATTCATTGACCGAGTCTGTGCAAAGTATAGTCATCGATAATTCGCAAATCAAACATGGTTGACCATCATTTGTGTATCACGTTCTGATGATTCCCTTCCTTAGACCCTCCAAGTACCCACGAAAACTGGTAAACACATGTTTGGAAAATCCCCAACACAAATGGTCCGTATGAAAAGTTGCTAATGTGGGTGAACAATGCCAGAAAACATCCCCCAGTCATAACCATTTTATGTCCTATGTTTACTGCACTGCTTCGCGGCCGTGCATGGCTGCCACCCAAACACGTCCGAGCTATAGGTCTTATATTTACCATTCCCAGTCATGGGTGGTTTATGGCATTGTTCAAACTCCCGGGTGGCTTCCCAACGAATATATACTTGGAGGATCATCGCACTTCGAAACAATTCAACCCTGGTTAAAGCAGCTGTTAGCAAGTCCCCGAAGTGCGTTATCCATCCTTAGCCTATGTAACACCTGGGTTTACCCCAACAAACACCAGTAATGTTGGTCTGGTTGGTGGTTTCAACCCCTCTGAAAAATATTAGTCAGTTGGGATGATTGTTCCCAATATATGGAAAACAAGAAACCATGTTCAACCACCAACTAGCGGTGAAACAATGCCATAAACCATCCCCCAGGCATGACCGGTTTTTATAGGTGCTATGTTTACCATTAGTCAGGGGTGGTTTAATTCCTGCCCCCTATTGCTAGGTTGGCCAATTTGATTTTTCATTGATCCCTTTTTGAAAACAATTTAAAAATGAAACTGCCATTTGTGGGTTTCACCTCCTAAGAATAAAAACTAGTCAACCCCGGTTTTTTTTATTATTAGAGTCCGTCTTTTAAGGTCAAAAAATACATGTATTCACATTAAGGTTTTTAATTTAATATTAGGGGAAATCATCGAAATCCAATTTTTGGCAATATTTTCATTATATTTTTCTTTAAAAAAGTATTATCCATTTTGACATAGAACAAAAATAGTTTTTCATTCCCCAAACAATGTGGCCACACTGAAGGGGTTCTTACGGTAAGTCAATCGAGGTGGTGGTGTTCAATCGAGGTGGTGCCGGTCGCGTCTGGCATTTTCCCCATAAATTTCCGCACAAAATGCCTCTTGTGACCTGTCCATGTGCATTTCGACTGCGCAGGCGCGCACAAAATGGCTGTCGCGGGATACGCGTACGGCATTTTTTTCCTTTTAAAATTTCCGCGAGACATGCCTCTTGTGACATGTCCATGTGCATTTCGATTGCGCAGGCTCGCACAAAATGCTTACCCTGGGATGCGCGTCCGGCATGCTCCCTGTAAATTTCCGCACAACATGCCTCTTGTGACATGCCCATGTGCATTTCGACTGGGGTCCTACATTTTTCCGTCTATACTTGCTTTTGTGACATGTCCTCGTGTCCTTCGAGCCTTCGAGTGCCAAGAGACCTTTTTGAGGGAGCTTGCACAGAGATCTTGTCAAGACACCTTTGATGGGGATGATGGAGATCTTGCCCAAGACCTCTTCAAGAGATCTGTGCGGAGAGAGCTTTTATAGAGATCTTGCACAGAGATCTTGCCAGGAGACCTCTTTTACAGATCTTGTACAGAGACGTGGTGAACAGCATAGATCTTGCTCAAAGATTTTGTGTAAAGATCTTGGCTAGAGATCTTACTTTGAGATGCCTCACAGAAATCTTTTGTCAAGATCTCTTCAAGACACCTTGTACAGATAGCCTTCCACAAGGATCTTGTACAGCCACTTTTTTAGAGAGCTGGAATAGAGATCTTACTTTGAGATGCCTCACCGAGATCTTTGGTGGATATCTCTCTTAGAGACACCTTCTACAGATAGCCTTACACAGGGATCTTGAACAGCAGCTTCACAGAGAACCTGTCCAGGAGGTTTTGTGGACGATCTTTTACAGAGCTCTTCCCACAGGGAACTTGCATAGACCTGGCACGGAGATCTTGCCAAGCCACCTGTGATAGAGATTTTGCATCGATCCTTTGCATCGGAGCTTTTTACGCTGCTGTGCTCATTTATTTTGACAGATATTGGAAATGCTTTGCCATGTTCTCCAAGAGACCGTTTTTCCCCAAACAGTGTGGCCACACTGAGGGGTTCTTTTAGGTGTTAATTAGGTGTTAAGGCCCGGTGCCTGTGCAGTCGAAATGCGCATGGACAAAGTACAACAGCCATTTTGTATGGAAATTTACAGGGAAAAGGACCGGGGACACCTCCGGGGACATCGTTTTGTGCGAGCCTGCGCAGTCGAAATGCACATGGACAGGTCACAAGAGGCATTTTGTGCGGAAATTTGCAGGGAAAATGCCGGACGCTTCCGATACCCAGAGGTGTCTGCGGCCATTTTTCCTGTAATTTTCCACGCAAAGTGGGTTTTGTGCAATGTCCGTCTGAATTTCGACTGCGCAGGCTCGCGCAAAGTGTGCTTCCGGGTAATGGGATCGGTCTTCCTCCTCAACATCCTCCTCCTGAACATCATCATCTTCCTCCTCAACATCATCATCTTCCCCCTCAACATCAACATCAGCATCGTCATCAACATCATCATCTTCCTCTCATGTTCCTCTCATCTTCCTCTCATTTTCCTCTAATATTCCTCTCATCTTCCTCTAATCATCCTCTCATCATCACCACCACCACCATCATCATCATTGTCGTCGTCATCGTCATCGTCATCGTCATCGTCGTCGTCGTCATCATCATCATCATCATCATCATCCTCATCACCATCATCATCACCATCATCATCACCACCATCATCACCATCATCACCATCAGCACCATCATCATCATCATCATCATCAATATCACCATCATCATCAACATCATCAGCAACATAAAGTATCATCATCATCATCACCACCATCATCATCATCATCATCATCAAGATCATCAACATTAATTAACATCATCATCAAAAGTTTAATACATTATCCTTTTACTTCCCCCACACTGTTTGGGGTCTCTTACCGGGATAATATTAGGGTTTAAAATGTACTATTAGGGGGAACCCTACTAATAATAAATACATCCTAATCCTAATAATAAAAACTACCTGAGGTGTTTATTATTTGGGGGGGTTAGTATTAGGGGGAAGGGATTATGACATTGTTTTACCCACATTGCAGAAATATATCAGAAATATCCCATTGTCATCATAATTATCATCATTGGCCCACATCAAACCCATATGCCATCCAACTCAAGGATTTTCAAAGTAATTATACCATTAATCAGTATTAATTATACCATTAAGCATAGCTATTGCCTTCACCATTGACTAGTTCGCTATATCATGTACAATAAACCATAGAATTCAGCCCCAATACCTCGAGGATCTAGCCAAGCATCCTGTGGCCGTGGCTCTTGGCGGCGGCGTGCGCGGGGGCGACTCCGCTTCTGGAATGGGTTGCAGGTGTTCGGCTAAAGACCTCGCGACGAAGCAAAACGCCATGGAAATTGTGATGGAAAATGATAAAAACCCTGGAAATTATATATGAAATTATGAGTGAGATGATGTGAAAGAATCCGAAAGAAGGGAGACATTGTTCAGTATCTATCTGATCTCGTAGAAAAACGAAAGAACGGAAACATTCTATGCATTCCAGGGTGGGTGGCGTCAGGAACAAATGCTAATGCCAAAGAATCTTAACCCCCAGTCCTGAAACATTTACAAACAATTGTCGATCAGAAAAAACAATGGGCACTAGTAGTGTGGGCGCAATCTATCCATGAACCTGAAAATAGACACGCAACCCCCACTTAAGTGGGACCTTAGGACCTTGGAAAATGAGTCGAACGTTAAGTCTTGGAACAAATCAATATAAATCATAGCAACTATATCAAAATCATAAAGAAAATAAGGCAGGTTCCAGATGGTTCCAGGCTGCCACCAAGCAGCAAATTCATCGTAGGAAGTGTGAATGCTGGCGGTTCCTGGGCCACGGTGCTGGTTGTGTTTTGGGGATTTGTCGTTTCGATGGTGTATTTCAAAACATGCCCAAGAATTGGGTTGACCACATCAGAAACGCTTCTAGACCTGGTTGCATGTAGGCTACGGCTCACTAAAGTATGACCCACTTACTTGTCGTAGCCTCTCAAAACAAATGGAAATGGAAAGTATAAGGTTGTGCCAGCCAAAATAATGTTTGAATTACCGTTATATATTTTTGGGGTGGTACATGGCGGTAATCCTCTCTCCCTACTACTAAAACGCGCCCCACAAATAGTAAACACGGTGATCTATTTTTATTCTTAGGGGGTATTTTGTATTAGGGCGCCCCTAATCTTCCAATGAAAAACCATAATCATAAAAATAAAAACTCGATTTCAAATGTGATTAAATCCCTTATCAAAATCTATATATAATATTGCCCAAAACAGGAATTCGAAGCTTTCCACTAATATTCCAGTGAACAACCCTAATAATAAACATGGGACCCTTAATAAACAACCTCCAGGTGGCAATCTATGTTTATTAATACTAGTAGGGGGTTGAGCCCATTGTTTCACCATTCTCAATTACCACAATTAAGAATCCAATTGTGCCCAACCAAAAAAAACGGAAGTGTCACACCAATCCGATTTTTTTCTTTGGGGGGTTTTAGTACTAGGAAGAAGGGATTACTATTTATATGAAAATCAGCAAGCACTCTCACCAGTAAATGATTAATTTGCAACAGTGTAACCATCAAATATGAAGCAGGAAAATGACAAGTAGACAATTTGATCATTCGCCAATAATCTTACAGTAGATAATGCATTAGATCTAGATGTTCCCAAGCTACTTCCCAGGTTTCTCCTGGTAAACCGCCTTTTTTTGTCCAGTTCATCCAGCCTGCCTCCTCAGCCTAACTGCTGGGAAATAGCTATTGCCGATAATGTGGTTAAAACCATAAACCATCTCCCAGTCATCATCAGTTTTACAGGTGCTATGTTTACCATTCCCAATCATGGGTGGTTTATGACATTTTATTTTACCCACATTATCAATCATTAATCATAATCAAATATATTTGTAGATTGTTACTATTGATCATATATTTACCATATGTTAACCATATCTTAACCATAAGATGACAGTATCCATGATATGGAATTTTCCATTTAACCCTCTGGTGCATTAACATAGCGATTGAAAATGGCACATTTATAGTTGATTTCTCTATTAAAAAAATGTGATTTTCCATCGTTTTTTTGCATGTTTACCAGAGGGTAACCCACTATAAACCATCCATTATTCACCATAATATAACCATATATTTACTATTAACCATATACTACTATTAACATCTATTAATCATAATATGAGGTTTTCCATTTAACCCACCATAATTTTTTTTTACTCACTAACACTCCTGCTGCATGACCCACTCTGCGTCTCACGCGCCAATGGACTTTGCCATTGGGGAAGGCTATGTACAGCCACACCGGTCACCGCGGGAGGCGACTATCCGGTGGGCGTTCATGCCACCGGACGTCAGCCAGGGTCGCGGCGAACGGCGGGGGCTCCCCATCGACGCGGCGCGGCCCCGGCCGGGAGTTCGAGGAGAGTCTCGGCCAGGGCGCGCTGCGCCGTGACGGATAGGAGGCCGGCCCAACGGTGCACGTAGGCCTGAACTGCCGCCGAGCGGAGGAGTGCTGGCGCAGTGCGGGCGCGGGCGTGCGCCAAGGCTCGGAGGAAGTCGGCGGCTTCCTCGCCCCAACGACCTCCTACTTCGAGACCCAAGATGATTAGGTGGCAGCGGCGCGAGCCGGAAAACTCGGGGTAGGTGTGTTCCCGCTTGCGCTGGGAGGCTGCCAGGATCGCCGCGCCCGGGTTCGCGTCGGAAGCGTGGCGCACCTGTCCGGTGCGGCCAAGGGGGCTGACGAGGGTCACGTCGACTGCCAGCTGAGCCCCGTGCCAGAGCGGCAAGTCGTTTGCGAGGACTTCAATCTGGCGTGCGTCGGTGACCGGGACCGCGAGGTTCATGCGCGAGAGCGGCACGTTGACCGCGACGCGGGCACCGGCCTCGCGGCAGATGCGGGCGACCGCGCGTTCGATGGGCGCAGCTCGTGCCCGGAGGACGCCAGTGGTGGCGCATGCGGCACGGTGGTCGCCGTGAGGGTCGAGTGTCAAGCCACACCGACATCGGGAAGGACCGCAGCTCAAGGGGGCTCGGAGCCGCCGTTGCAGCAAGGTGCGGAAATGCGGGTTGCCGAGCTGGAATTCCGGGCTGGTAGGAAGGGTGGTGACTGCGCGGCCGCTGTGTGGGCCAGCCTGGGAGAGGAGAAGCGCGCGCTCCGGAGGGGAAAGGTCAGATAGGAGAGCGGCGAGCTCGTCCAAGTCCTGGGCTGCACTGATGTCGCGTTGCCACCCCCGCAGGAAATCGCCCGGGGTCCGGTCTTCGTGCGAGAAATGGCGGCCGCCGATGATAGATTCCCAGGGTGGGACAGTCGCCCCGCTGTTCCGGAGGAGCTGGGCTGCCTGGGAGGCGGCGAGGATGCTGGGTGGTTGTGGGCGGGCCTCGCCGTTGAGGAGCTGGAGAAGGCGGTCCGCCACAAGAGGAAGGCGCGAGTGGAGGATGGGCAAGGTGTCGGCCCATGAGGCCCAATACGCGGCGAGGCGCGAACGGTGGGCCGAGCGCAGGCCGCACCCCCCCAAGCGCAATGGGAGTTGGGCCCGGCGTAGCTGTAGGTCCGTAAGGGCCGCGCCTGCCGCCACCAGGGTGCTGACGCAATGTGCCACCGCGGCGTCGTGGGCGGCTGCAAAGTCTGTAGTGTCCGCCGGTGGGAGGACGCGGAGGAGATAGTTGCTCCGGGGGGCTGCGCAGAAAAGGAGCAACAGCCAGGCGGCCTGCAGGTTCTCTACCCATGGGATGCGGTGGAGAAGGAGGTCTTGTTTGGTGCGGACCTCGGTAAGAGCATGTTGCACGTATTGCGCGCTCCCAATGGGGGTGCCCAGGACCTGGAGGCCTTGCGCCGAAGGGGCAGAGTCCAGTCGCCGACCCAAACCCGGTCGTTGCTGTCAGCCGGCTGCAGCTCTGGGAGGTGGCGCGGCTCTTCCCCAGCCGCATTCCAGATGCGGGTCTTACCTTGGTTGAGTTCGATGCACGCGTGGCCTCGGAGGGAAACGCGCAAGGTGGAATAGAGCGCGTGGGTGCGGTCAGGCGACGAAATGACATAGATGTCATCAAGGAAAGCAAAGAGCGCTTCCCCGGACCGCATCGTGGCCGCGGTCTCTTGCAGCGCTGGGTGTTGGGCAAGCGCAAACAAGGCAGGCATGAGTGGGTCGCCTTGCTCCCCCCCTTCGGCTTGCTGAACGGAGTGGCAGGCGCCAATAGAGTCCCACCAGAGGTAGGTGCTGTCTTGGCCGTAGAAGAGGCGGGCGTAGGGGAGGAGGGGTCGAAGCGCAGGGGAGCGGAGAAGGCTTCCGAGCATCGACTGGCGTCCGACATGATCGAAAGCGCCGACGCCGTCGACCGACAGCACGGTAGCGCGGGGGTCGAGCTCGGTCGCGACCCGGACGGCGCGTGCGAGGCCTTCTGCTCCGGCTTTGGTGCTGAGGGCGTACTGAAAGGGGTGGCACGCCTCTTGGAACTGGGCTGAGAATTGCTGCGCCAAGGTCCGGCCGACCAGCCGGCGGAACACGTCGCTCATCACGAGGCCGCGCACACGCCCGTTGCCTTTCTGGAGGGCAACAAGGCGGCCGACTCGGAGGCCGTCCATAATGAGGGGAGGCACCCGCGCCGAGGCCAGGAGCGAGGCCGCGTCGCACAGGAGGCGGGAGTCGGATTCAGACTCGAGCAAGACCCGCAGGTGCTCATTGGTGCAGCCAGACGGACCAGCAGCCGCCCCGCGGCGGGCCCGGCGGAGGTTTTGCAGGAATCTGGTGGCATCGACGTGGAGCAGCTCATCGGGCTGGAAAGAGGCAACGTCGTCCGAGAGGGGTCGATGCCGGACTTGCGGGCGCCGGGACGGGTTGCGCAGCTCGGCCAGGGTGGCGGACGAGAGCGGCGCGAGGGGCTCGGCCACTAGCGACCGGGCAGCCGCGGAAAGTTCCCCTTGATGTGCCAGGCTGGCTGCACGGGAAGCACGCGCGTCAGCAGAGGGGACGCTCGAGGACGGCGCTGTGGGGTGGAAGCTGCTGGCAGCTTCGCCGAGCAGCTGGTGCCACTGGCCGTTCCGGAACATAGTGGCTCGGCGGTCGAGGTCGCTGGGTTCGGCGCGCTCCCCGGGACGGGACCGGTAGCAAAGCATCCGCGGGGCCAGGAGGAAGAGCTTCCAGCCACGTGCTTGGGCAGGGTCCGTGTTGGCGGGGTGGTCGCAGATTTCGGTGAGGCCCAAGCGGAGCGCAAAGGCAAGGACCCCCTGCAAGCGCCGGGGCGCACCTTGGAACGTCGAGACCCGCACCCGCAAGGTGTGGGCGAGGTCGAGGTCGTCAAGGCTGCGGAGCGCTTGTTGGAGCAGAGCTGCGGGGTTTGGAAAGGGCGGAAGAGGGGGAGGCGGAGGGTCTGGGACCTCGGCAGGCTCTGCGGGAGCAGGGTCCGCCGCGGCTGCGTGTCGTCCACGCCCGCGGCCGCGACCGCCGCGGCGCGGCGGGGGCCGGTGGGCACGGGCCACCTGTTGGGCCAGAGCCCGGACAATGGCCGGCTCTCTGGGCGCCGAAGTCTCGACCGCGGGATGCACGGGGCCGGGATCGGCAGGGAGCTGGATGGGCGCCGGAGGGTCCAGGCGCGCTCGGAAGGTGTCCGAGTGCCGGTCGAGGTCGGCAGCAAGGTGAAGGCCACCATAGAGTTGGAGAAGCACTTCTTGGCCAGCGGCGGGGACGTACGCGTCGGGGTCGCAGAGGTGGCGAACTGCCCAGCCCAGATGCGCTTGGGCACCTGGTGGGAGCGCGGCCGCCTGTCGGGAAAGGCGCTGGTGCGAGGAAAGCGCGCCAGCAGCTGGGCAGGCGTGGAGGGCTTCCAGGAGGGTGGTGAGGGGGACCGGGGGCGCGGCTGTCAGCGCTTGCCGGGCGCGCTCCCACCACCGTGTGGTGGCGGTGGCTTGTTGCCAGGCCAAGGCGGCATCCTCGTGGAGCTCGCCTGTCGCGGCGAGGAGTAGGGGCACGTACAGCCAGGAGTTGGCATCCGTCCGGACAATGCCACTTGGGGGGCCGCGCTGGCGCCAGGCGGCCGCGCCCCTGGGGCGGGGAGAAGGGGGCGGCGTGGCGCGCTCGGGCTCGGATTCTTGGAAGGGGTTGAAGTGGAGCCCGTGGCAAGTGCTGCTCAAGCTGGCATCGAGCGCTGGGTCCCAGGCATGACGGCACAGAGGACATCGTGGAGGGTGCACTTGCGCGCGGGATCTGGCGAGGCAGGCGAAGTGGTAGGCGTGCCGGCAGCCGGGCCAATACACGACCGCCCGGCGCCCCACCCCGGAAGGGAGTAAGGGCTCGAGGCAGGTGCAACATGTGGGCGCGGCATGGGCGCCATCGGTAGGAGCGGTGGGGGGAGGCGCGTCCTCGCCGTCACTGAGGACGACGGGGGCGGGTGAGACATCCGGGAGGGTGGACCCAGCTGCCGTGGTGGCGCTAGGGTGAAACGCTTGAACCAAAACGACTTCGTCACCGTCACCATTGTGTGTATTTTCGGCCCGTGCCTCCTCCCGATCACAGTGCGGCCGAGGCGCCGCCATGAGCAGCGGCCAAACGCTCTCTCGCAGGCTGCTATGGCGTCAGGCTCGCCCGGTCTGCTGTCTGCTGTATGTTATTTTTTTTTTGGGTTTTGGTCAGTGGCGAACCTCGGTTTTCCTTTGTTTTTTTTTTTTCCTTTCTTTTTTTTTTCCGGGGGTTCCGGTGGGGAGAGGTGTGGGTGGAGTGAAAGGTGCGTCCGGCTGCTCAAAGGGCAAGGGAGTTGCCGCGCTGCCTTGAAAGGATGGCGCGCAGCAGAGGTGGGGGCGGGGAAGGAGGTGGCGGGGGGTGGCGGAGTGCCGGCCGCCGGGGGGTGGCGTGGGGTGCCTGCTGCCTTGAAAAGCGGATGGCGCAGGCGGAGCCGACCGGGTCAGCGGAACGGGGAAGGCCCCGTCCGGGCAAAAGGGTTGGCGGAGATTGGGATGGGCCCGGGTGCCGTGAAGGCAGTGACGGGTGGGCTGGAGGTCCTGCGAGGAGGAAGGCCCTGGTGGCTACGGCGCGTGGGCCGACGGCCGGGTGCTTGGGGAAGGCGAGGCGCGGGTGGGGGGCCACGCGCCGCAGGGCGCGCCGGCGGGCGGTGCGCCGGTGGAGGAAGAGGAGGCTCGGGCTCCACCGGGATCTCCTCGAACTCCGCCGCAGCCGAGGGCGAGGAGGGCGAAGGCGAGCTCTCGGGAGGGGGCGCCCGGCGCGGGCAAAGGCGAGCACGGGGGGGCGACCCCTGGGAGGAAGAGCCACTCCCCCGAGAGCGGGAGCGGGAGGGGGAGCGACGGGCAGGGAGTGGAGGCGCCGCCGGGGCGGCTGCCGGGGCCCCGGGGGGGGCAGGTGCCGCCAAGGCGACCTGCCCTCCCAGCCGGAGCCAGGCTGCCACGGACAGGCTCACGTGTGAGCCGTCCGTGGCACCGGCGACCTCGACCCCCTGGAGGGTGAGGATCGCCGGTTCCATGAACGGGCCGGGGGCGCGCCGGCGCGTTTGAGCCACTTGAGCCATCCATTTAATTATGCCACCATCTTATCCACCCGAGGTGCCACGCTTGCCACACTGATGCTCTCCACCTGCAAGGCCTGCGCCATCCTCTCCGGCGTCGCCGCGTTGGGCGCGTTGGGCGCGTTCTCGCTGACCAGGACGCACCACAAGCCCGAGGCCACCTGGATTTTCTCCCAGAGCTGTTGGTTTCTAAACCCACATATAAATCATAGAGGATGGGGCCCCCAAGATAGCTAAGTTGGTTAACTATGGTTAATGGGGTTTATAAACCAACTTATAACTCGGGGGCCCCATCCTGTATTTATATATAAATATATGTTAAGTTCCCTAGATCTTAGATCCCCAATAGTATGAAGTGAAGCAATCATATAAATTAAAATCATATGTTGATGGTGTGTACCATCCAAAATGCTAAATTTGCGGATGGTAAATACTATTGCTTTACTCATATGACACAAAATATGAACATTCACTCATACTACTCATATGACACAAAATATGAAAACAAACTTAACTTGGATGGTTTACTGTAGATCTTCGAGTTACTGGGAGTTAAGAACATGATTTTCGAGATACGGCTCGTTCTGAATTTGAAAAATGCACATGTTGCAATGTCAGGGACTGGAAGCGTTTGGCTCAGTCAAAAGTAAAACTCTGGCTGTGAGATGGTGGTTCAATAAAATCTTTGAGCTACTGCGAGGTAGTTTGAGTTTTATTAGTTTATTAGAGCTTTAATCAAGTAGATCATCCATTCCTAATTTAGAGCTGTTGTTTCAGTTATGCTACGGGTTTTGTCCATGTGCAACCTTCCAGTTTCTTTGAACTATGTGTTCATATCACATAAATTGATTCCCAATTGATTCCTCCTCCCCCCAAAAAAAACACCATACAATGGTCCCAACATGTGGTTTCATTCCCTACTAGACCATGGTCTCTGGGGCTCTGTGGGGTGGTCAATATTAAGGGGAATTATATACTGTTTTCTACACTGTTGAGTCCCTAATTTTCATCGTAAAACACCACCGTAATCACTATAACATCCCATTAAACCATATTAACTCCCTATGTGTCATAGTTAAACTCTTCCATTTTCATAAATTTCACCATTAAGACAATCATTAAATCCGATGAAAAAGAAATTTCCAGTCCTGTATCCATGGCCAGGCCGGGCCAAACCGACAGGCCAAGGCCCCAAGGCCCTGCACCTGTCTAGCCGCCACGGGTATGCAACCTGATCCTCAGTGACGTTCAAGGCAATCCGTTTAGATAAATGTTACAAGGTGGTACCCCCCCATGTGCTCTTTACAATTAGTTCTATGGCTTGATAAAATGTTTGAGAGAGAGAGAGATATATATATACACCTGCATATACATCTAGTGTTAATGAAATAAACCCAGCTAACGAACTGTGGCACCACCTTGTATGGTGGGAAAAAACTATATGTTCTTACGACATATGTTTGGTGTTTCGCAAAATATCTCCAGTCCTTTGGGGTAACATCGACTCAGCAAGCCAAGCAAGTGTCATTCAATAATGTAGCCCAACAAAAAAAACAAACATGGCCAGGGTTGTATCTAAGAATAGTGCAATTACCATCTGGTTATTTAACATAGCCATGGAAAATCAGCATGTTTAATAGGTAAACCATCTATTTCTATGGGCAATTTTCCATGGCTATGTTAAATAACCATAGGGTATGATATTGGATCTTCCATATGGTACATATTTCTGCTGTTGCTCAAAAACACGAGTTATCATTGTCGCCGTTCTTGCGGGAAAAAACGCCGTTCCTGGAAATAAATGCCGTTGTCAAAAATTGTCAGCCCAATGGATCGCGTATTTTTTCATGTATTTTCGCAGTTTGGTCGGGCATTTTCGCTGCTGAAAAACTGGTTTGGCATCTATATATCAGAAGAAACTCTGGTCTTCCCAAAAAGGTTGTTCTTGTGCAAAAGCTATTTCTTGGGCAGAAGGCAGAAATTAAGCCCCCTTTGAAGATAATATACCAATATTGTTTATATATTATGATTATTCATGGTTGTTTTACTTGTAAATACTATATCAATTATAATCCCAATCACATCCCAACTAAATCCCATAAAAAAAATCATATCATTCCGTATTTATATAGGATTTTATTGCATCCAGAAATGGAGAGATCCCCAGTCGCCGAGTCACCACAGGCATTCGTGGCCGTCTGCGCGGCCGCCATGGCCTTCGACAAATCCACGCCCAAAGCTGGGGGCATCGCGGGCGGCACAGTCTGTGCCAGGCCAGGTGCCATGCCCGGCCCCGGCAAAGCCAGGCCGCCTGGCCGGGCACACGGTGGGTTTTTAGCATTTCTGTAGATCTTTTGATGGTCACTAATATATATGTATATTATATATATATATGTGTGTGTGTGTATGTATAATTATGTATACCATTGTATACCAATGGAGTTCTTGCTGAGAAGCAAATTCTATTTGTTGATAAGATTTTAATCGTATTTTACTCCATAGTCCAGCAAGTGAGTTTCTGTGGAATTTCCGCCGAGCACGTCGTTTCCTCATAAAAGGAACTTCTTGGGATGACTTCAAAGTTTTGAAGAAATACAAAATATACAAAGTAACCCAATAGTGACATCCTTTCAACCATGTGGCTTGTCTTTGAAACAGGCATCTCTCTGAGGGTTTTTTTTCCATATGAAACCTGGTTGGTGGTTTTAACCATCTTGAAAAATATGAATTCGTCAATGGGAAGGATGATCCATTCATATTATGAAAAATAAAAGCCATGTTCCAAACCACCAACCAGTAAATGATGTTCATTGGATTTTCCCATTTAACTGGCCATTTCTAGAAGATTTTCCCATTTAATAGTGGTTAATAGTGAAACTGACCGCATCTCGCCGAGCACGCACCTTCCATTGGCGCAACGTTGGGAGCCATCCTTGGAGCTGCTACGAGCTGCTCGCTGAGCTGCTCCGCGGATGTGAAATCCCATGGTGTCATCCCGTGGCAGCTGATGCATGATGCAATGCACTCACTATCTGATAGCACTTCAGATCTGAGTGAACAAACCAACATAATTATATATATATATGTGTGTGTGAAGATTAGAGTTTACTCATTTCTTTTTACAGTTACACCATGTTAAAGCAACATATTTTGCTTTAAAAACGATTCTCTAAGTCTCCAGTCTGCATTGCCAGGTCATACCTAAACTCTACGTTGATCATAGGGCAGGCCCCCAATGATTTCGTTACCGTTGTCCCATTAAAATGGCCACAACTCACTTGGGGCATTTGAAAATTCATGCCGATCATGCCACTTAGAATAAGCTGGTCATAAGTTGCTGAAGAAATATGGGATGATCATATGATCTACCCTCTGTTAAAAAAAAACATAGCTATTGAAAATGGCCCATAAAAATAGTTGATTTACCTATTCACAATTGTCATTTTCCATCGTTTTTTGTATGTTTACCAGGTCGGGTATGGGATGATCCCCCAACCCCCCGAAGCCAAGCATCTGTTCCAAGTAGGCCTCAAAGTTCAGCATCGGCTCAATGCCCAAGATCCCGGGGCAGGGAGCTGCCTTTTTTGGCTCAGAAAAACCACCGGGGATTTTGCTGCGAGGATTTTACGCTTCAATGCGAGTCAGTTACTTTTTTTGGGTGCAAGTATAATAGATGTATACTGTTATACGATATAATTAATGATGATTATATATAAGTATATTTTGGTTTGAGCTGAAGTTTGCCATCCTGTCCCTGTGACCTTCTGAGCGGTTTTGTATCACCATTTGTCATTTTAATCTTTGTACGATATCGAGAGAGATGCGCCGAGTTGCTGCCCTTGTGGGCATGCAGGCCGCAAGACATGAAAGTGAAAGTGGTTTCTCTCAACATGTGAGAACCCGCTCTAAATACCCTCTGGTAAACTAACATAGCTATGGAAAAACACAACTTTTAATGGGAAAATCCACTATAAAAAGCCATTTTCAATAGCTATGTTAAATTACCAGGGGGTATGTCTAAATTTGATGGTCAATCATGGTCGATCATGGTTGATCATGATCGGTCAAACTTGTGACCCTGGCCATGTTGGGAACCGCATTTTTTTTTTTGACTAAACATTAGCCTCTGGTAATTTAACATAGCTATTGAAAATGGCCATAGATAATAGAAATAGTGGATTTTCCCATTAAACATTGTGATTTTCCATAGTTTTTTGTATGTTTACCAGGTCGGGTTGCATGGATAAACATATTAGTGTTCCTGGTATTTTTGTCCCAGAACCCTTTTGTACCAATCCACTGACCCAATCATGAACTCAACAGCGGCATCCATTGGGAACTTATATATCCCATACCCTCTAGTAATTTAACATAGCCATGGAAAATCACAATTTTTAATGGGTAAACCATCTACAAATGGGCAATTTTCAATAGCTATGTTAGTTTACCAGAGGGTAAACGATCACCGCTATTGTTGTGTTTTTTAATCCCCATCATCAAGCAAATTTCTTAGATTTGCTTGAGGAACCCCGCCCCCCCCCCAAAAAAAAGAAGGCCTATTCAACAATAATATTCCCTATAAAATTCCGCAAGTAGTTGATTTCCTACATATCCAAGGTTTTCATCATGGTGAAAACAAATCGCCCTTAAATCACGGTGGTGAAAAAACTATGGTATAAACAATATGGTGACTTTACCACCATTTGTTAAACTATGGTAGTAAAACTATAGTTAATCACCTTATCGGGGTAAATTATCATATTTCACTAACCTGAATCTTGCGGCCATTTGGGGATGATTTCAAATGATTTCCCTTCGCAGCTTATTAGCCATGATTCCAGGGTTCATCATAGAACAGTGAGGTCGTGATCAAATTTACCCAGCCTTGGTTGGTGGTTTCAACCCCCTCTGAAAAATATTAGTGAAATGGGACGATTCTTCCCAACTGGATGAATATTATTCCAAACCACCAACTAGTTATGTGTTTTTTTCCTACCACCATGGTGTCTTTTTTCCGCGCCGAGACACCCAGGGCATCCACGGCGATGTCCAGGGAAGCGGGCAGGGAGCGCAGGGATGAGCAAAGATCGGGCCTGGAAACCGGCTTCACCAAGGGTGAGAGATCCAAGGATACCTACATGACCGTAACTTGTTTTGCTTATTCACGCTGAATCTATGTATATAATATAACGCCGTGCATTCATTGAATCATTCATCTTGGGTATGTTGAAGTATATGTTAAGAAGTTCTTTAAAAAACAACAACAACATACAACAACCATATACTGTAACATATTGCTACATGTACTTATTGATGTGTACATTTGTTGATTGTAACTTGTAACTGTTCAATTTCGACCTGCTGTATTCATGGTTCTCAAACTAAATGCAGCACTGGAGTTTACAACACTTCCAAGCAAGCTATAGCCCCTCCCATCAGATCCAAGAGTATCCAAGCCACCCACTCCCTCACTTTCACTGCTCCCTGCAGCCATTGGAGGATACCACGCCATTTTGGTCGCGGTGGTCACGACACGAATTCGGGGTCCGGGCGGGACAGACGAGACGACGGGAGTCCAGTCGTCCAGTTCTTGATCCACTTGCGGCAAGCGAAGGATGACAATGGGATATCTGGGTGGTGGTTGAGTGGTTGAACCATTTTTTTAGTGGCGACATGGTGGATGGGAGAGTTATTTGAGGATCCGACGGATATATCATGATGTACCATGATATACCTACAATATATAGAACCCCCCAATCTTCTCCTAAGCAGAGTTCATTCTGCCTAACCAAATTCTGCTGTGCTCACGTTTTGATGCACACTTTCAGGCACTTGTTTTATATACCAAGTATTGATCAGAAATAACAATACTAGGTATTCCAATTATACTAGTTAGCCAAGTTTTGTATGCTATTGTTTTTTTTTTCCGCCCTTGAATCCGCAGCATGGCTCAAGGCTCTTTGGCCGGCGGTCTCCGCAGCCGGTTAGTCGCTTTGGACTGCCGGGTCAGCGCCTACGCGCTCCCAAGAGGCAGACGGCTCGGCCCGGTAGCGGGGGCTAAGCCGACGATGTCTGCCAGCCGCGGGCCGACCGGCGGGCCACGGACGGGGTGCGCCGGCGAGACGGCACTGAGGATGTGCCGGAGGCGCTGTCCGGGCTTGCCGCTCGCGGGGAGGCGAGGCGCCGCCTCCCAGAGGCTGGCGCCGCCGCCGGAGCGCCCTGCGTGGCCGGCGTGAGGGTACCGCCGAGAGTGGCCCGCACAGTGACGGCCAGGCACACGTGTCTGCCGTCGGTAGCCCCCGGAACCTCGGTCCCCCCCAGAGAGAGTACGACCGGGTACATGAAGGCTAGGGGGTGGGAACCCCCTTGAGCCAAAATGGCTTGAGCCAAAATGGCTACGGCTATTGTTTTATATGCCAAGTACTAAGTACTAATCTTTACACAATCCTAGTGGTGTCCGCCTCTCAGCATTCCGAACAAGATGGGATCATATGATCCAATAGTTACCTAGCACCCAGTGCCCAGTGCATGTCCGTTCCCTGTTCAGTGTTTCAAACAAACAACAAATGGTTTGTTCCTCTTAGTCTTAGGCATGTCAACCGAAGTGATTATCATAATTTCGCATACCAACTCATAAATGACCACGATATCACAATTATAATCAATTATATATTTGTAGTTTAGATATGATATAATCCATTTCCCCTAAATACCACCCACATAAAAATCAGGTTCAATATTGGCTCTGTTTATTTGGGTCCCAAACATTGGGGGCAAATAAAAGGCTATTTATGATCGAGGGATGGGCCAGTTTGATCTATGGGTTCGTCTGACAATATGGTATCCCACACAATTTGCTGGTATATCATTTAAGATATCTGTTGGGATATTTGAATAATACTTATACCACATATCTGGGCAAGTTATAAATATGTTTTACCTAATTCACTAACCTGACTAGTTCGGCCATTTGGGGATGATATTTCCCTAGCTCCGTGATTCCAGGCTTCGGGAGCACCTCGCCCCGCGTCCAGTGTGTTCTCGTGACACCTCAGTTTTTTTTGGGAGATGGAGATTCCATGGGTAGATAAAGAGGTTTTTTGTGGGTACCCTCTGGTAATTTAACATGGCTATGGAAAATCAACATTTTTAATGGGAAAATCCATTATTTCTATGGCCATGTTCAATAGCTATGTTAGTTTACCAGAGGGTAAAACAATGCCATTTGCATCATCCCCCAGGAAAATCACCAGTGCTATGAAAAAACCATTCCCAGTCATGGATGGTTTATTATTGTTGGGTGATTTGAAAATATGTGACAATCCTTTCAATCACACCGTTTCTGTATATGTAACACTCCTGTCAAAGAACTCCAGCTGCATCCAGCTGCGCTCTACTGGGAAAGGAACACAATTTATTTGAAGGAATGGTTTCCTTCTCCAAAAACATATTTTTACATCCCCAAAGGCTTCACACCTGAAAAGGAAAATTGCACATCCCCAAGGAATACTGCGCATGTTTAGCATACTGTTTGTTTTAAAGTAATGACTTCACAAGAATGCCTTGGGGGCAAGATGAAGCAGATTTGGTTTGGACTAATCTGGATTTGATTTGTAATCC